CACTTCCCAGAAACCACTTCCCAGAAACCACTTCCCAGAAACCACTTCCTAGCCTCCGGAGACCATTTCACCCGCGTTCCGAAACGAGGCGAATCCGGGTTCCGAAACGAGCTGAATTCGCGTTCCAAAACGAGGCGTCGGCCGTTGAAAACAGGTTGTTTTCAACCCTCTTGCAAAATATCTGATTCCTTTTGAATACATCCCGGCAGAAAGGTTACAACTCGAAGTGCTCAAGTCAGCAACCAACCTTCACATCGACCTGACTATCGGACTGACTTAAAACAGTTCAAGATCTGAGAGGGCAGGAACAGCAGGAAAAGAACAATCGCCAGGCACGCAAAGCACGCGATTTAGTTGCAACCTGGTGCAATGCCTATTTAGACGAACGCACACGTGAGATACATCCGCACTGGTGGCAACATGAATTCAAGTTGACCTTGTGTCTTTTTGTTGCGCAAATCAATGTCTTCCCGAGAAGGGTTGAATCTGTGGTGGCGAACAAAGTACAAAGGGGGGTTCAAGCCAAGTGTCAAATGTTGGTTGATGCTCCATGATGCTCCTGTTGGGCAAGGAGAGTGTTCCGGAAGGAGCCTCTTACTTCATCGTTCTTATCTACTGCGGAGCGAGCCAATATCAGCCAATGGGTGTTTACAGGCACGTCCTTCTTCTAGCCACGTTTTGGAAAACCGGCGGCGTAAGTGGTGCCGAAATGGATGCCTTTCAAGCCATGTAACTTTGCAACGATTGGTTGATAGCTGCAATGATTGGTTGCCAGCACAGAGACAGTTTTGAAAGGGCCAGGCATGATTGGCAAGCAAAGGAACTGCGCCTTCGTACGTTACTACACCTGAAAAGAGCAGCTACAAAGGACAAGTTTCGGCATGCAATGGTGGTATTCAGAGTTCACGTAAGTGGCAATCGTTGTTATCTCAGCTTTGCATCCTCAAACCCGATGCCACCTTCGATAATGTGGTATTTTTGCAAGTGACTCCGCGCAAGACACCGCTATTTACAATGTTTTTCAAGACACTATTGAAGAACAGAACGATTTGTGGTGTCTAGAATCGAGTATTCACATCCACCGCTAGTTGCTATGTGGTTCGCAAAACGAAAAGCACTGCAATAAACAAATTGGTTTTTGTAAAGAAAACATCAAGGCGGTCTCTTGCGGCAGGCTGAAGGGTTTCGAGCGAAACCGAAGGGGTTTGTTACCAACTGCAGTTTCGGCAACAGCATCCCTTGGAACTTCTTCAATACCCCGCTCCACCAAAACCGGACCAAATGCTCTGACAACTGCTCCCAATGACGGGAGGTCGCGATTGAATTCATGGCAACTCTTCAAAGGTTCAAATCTACCAAGCTCAACTTCTGTACCTCACCAACTGCGACTACAAATCCATACAAACAAATGTGGGAAATCAGGATGCATGAAAGTGCGAAGTCTTCACCAAGTGCTCTTCGATCTAAGTCCCCGGGCATTTTCTTCGCATGTGTAGGGCCCCGAGAAGAGTAACTGGTCTGGAACCTCAGCAAAAGCCCCATTCGCAGGATTGGAACCCCAAGTCAGTCCAGGTTTTGACGCATTGGGAGCTTCCTCCAAATCTGTCTCAACCATTTGCATATATTTAGTAGATTTTATTGACTTGATTGTTTTGGCCAATTACATACTTGGGAAGCGTAGGCTGAGGCCAAAAGCTAGCTTCATGTTTCATGTGGGAGCCATGTCTATTTTGTTGTCTATACCTCATATCACTATGGAATCTGGTATCCTTTGTGATATTGTTGGTTCCAATGAATCTTTCAGGTTTGCCGGTGTGTCAGCTCTCTGTGTGGTGGGTTCTCCTCGAATTTGGTCGTCGCCACGCCGCGCTCGATTCGCCCCAAATTCCATCTGTCGTGAGATGTAATGAACGCCGAGACGAAGCCTCTACTCCGGCTACATCGTTGACAGATTATCTCGGCTATCGCAAGGGTATGCTTTGGCCTAGGAGCTGAACCGTTGTTGAAGTAGCCATCCTGATTGCGGGGAACGGCAGCATCTGAAGCTTCATCAACTGGCGCTGCAGCTGCGTGTGCCGCTCCGAAGCATTCGCAGGGCTGAAGTGTGTAAATTCCAGGAGTCTCGACTGTGCCGAAGACGAAATCATCATTCTCGGGCTTTGGACAGGATGGCAAAGCCAAAGAGATGGTGGCATTTTGAAGCTGGGACACATCCTGATAAATATGGTCCAAGTCCGGTTCCGCAATTTGGTTTGGCAAGAGCCTCATGTTAAAGTCATCCGTGCCATCTTTGAAAGCATGGCTTACGACATCGGAATTCACACAAGCCATGGGATCTCCAAAAAATTCTGGAGCGTTTTGTGAGCCGAGCGAACCATCCTCAAAGTCTGAAGAGTTGATGTGCAAAAGCAGCCACTTGGACCTGATCGACGCTTTCACATGTGTTCCAACAAAAAACCAACTGAAAGAGGCGGAAGAGGCGGTTAAACAAAGTAAGCTGAACAGGGCAGCGGCAAAATAGGGACGCGAGGGTGTCTTGTCATGTTGAAGAGAGCGTTCAAGACACAGAATCTGTTATGGTGCATGTATTTTGCGCCTTGATGATGTCGGTGTTGTGATGTGATACAAGCTTCACCCTAGGTGCTATCTTGCTTCGACGCGACTAGCCTTCATCTAATATCTTCTATATAATTTGGTGCCATTTCACCTACTCCAGCAAACGCTCGCCTGATGATGTGGTTCGGAAGTCTAGTTGTTTAAGAACATGCAGTACCAGGACACTTGCGGTTGTGGAGGTAGAGATTTCCCTTACTGGTGTACCAAGCACAACACATGTTCTATATATATATATAGATGTTGATGTGGCGCACCTTGTCACCCACTGGCAATTGGCGCATCTACTGAAGATGTTGCAAGTGCACCCGGTGGTGCGGTGTATTGCGGTAGAAATTTCCCTGCTGATGTGACGTATGTGCAAGCAGTTAACTCCTTATGTTCCTCTTCTCCTGATGATAGCAAACCATCCGAAATTCAGCCACAGGCTTGGACTCACACCCATGTGTCCTTCGATGACTGTGTTGGTATCAGTGGAACACCTGATGGCTTGGTGTGATTTCACAGGGGCCAACAAGTTGCACAACTTCACCAAGCGACAATGTGGTACACTTTCATTTCAGTATGGGGACATGTACACCTCATGATGTGGCACTTGCCCAGGTGAGTATAATGGGACGATTGGGTACGGTGACGTGGTTCATGTTCGGCGGCCGAAGAGGCGCACTTTCACCTGCTGTTGCTGCACATGTGTACCTGAGACTGCGCGGCTGGGTGCAACAAGGCTACCGCAATGCCGTGGTGGTGCAAAGTTGAGAATCGATAGCGATTTACAAATAAATGAGGCTGGCATCGAACGTTCGCAATAAACGTCCTTTGACGTTAACAGCCCTGAATACACGCTTGAAAGTTATATAAAAGCAAGGAACACTCACATTCAAAGCATCAAAAGACCGTCACCCATTCTTCCTTCATTCCACCAAGTGACTCTGCGCAAAAGTCACTTATGGCCTGCTGCACGTTGGCTTTTCGGACCAACAGCAATTGACGTTCTGGGTTAAATCCAGCCCGAGAATAAGATGCTTCTCCGTGGTACACATTCATCGCCGAAAATGTTCCTTGAAGATATTGAGCACCTGGGACTGTAATATTTAGTTCCGAAGTTTGCTCCGAGCAATTGTTCAATCGAACCAAATACATGCCGCCTCCGTCCGGGTCCGGCCGAGGATTGTTCAGGTGACTCGCAATAATCAAGCAATGCGAGAACCACACGCGAGCTGCTGCACAATCCATTCGAGCACGGCAAATCTGTATGCATTTTGCTTCCTCCATGTCACTTGAATCTGGGTGGTCAGGGTAGTCGTCAACCAAGGTCACACTTGAGATGTGCCGCGGCACCCAACCTCAGCATGTAGTATTGGGAAGCTTTGCCTCTGACAAGAACGACACCAGTGGCACTACACGCCATCATTGACAAACATTGACAAACTAATCAAGTAAAAGTCAACCTTTCGTTCTTGCGTCTTGTTGAAAAAGCAAGCTAGAGCGAAACTTTGTGCGAGGATGTCTGTTCTTTTGCTGTTATGTTTTATGTTCATAGAGTGGCCAAATACAGCAAGTTGACGTCCTAGTACAAATTGAGCTTGGACATTGTCTCTTAACTTATTTTGCATATTTTGCTTCTTGAGTCTGATCGCAAAGTCCGAGCTGTGTAACTTTGCGCACATCGTTTCGTGGTGTTTGTGTGTTGCGGCTTGATTCGACCAATGTTTCGCATCGAAGCTGGAATCTTGATGAATCTTGTCCAAAGCTGCTTGGTCAAACGAAAAACGGCAATGCATTATTATGAATAGCGGAAAATCATAAGTTGTACAATCCAGATTTTAACAGTTCTGAGCTAGCTCTTCTGGATGATGGGGTTGACCAATAAAGCCCCTTGCCCCTTACCGAACGTTTTAACATCTCCATAGATGGGGAGCTTTGCTTTTCAACAGTCAACATTATGACATTATGGGATGGTTGTTCTTTTCAAATACTTGAGGTGGGTCTTCTACGCACCGAAGGCAAGGCGCGGAGTGTGAAGAATATCTCACCCCAGGCCGAAACTGTTCATCGCATGACGATGTTTCACAGAACCATCATTGCATGTTGGTTCATCCAGCATCATATTCATTCAATTTGTGTGCTCAGATTCAGGATGATATCTTCTGGGCTCCGCACACACCTCATCCTGGATCAGGATATTAAATGTTGCTACTGGCAGGACCTTGTCATAGAGTGGGCCTCAACATGCAGCACTTCGACAAATTTGATGCTTGAGGCCTTTTCAGGTCCTTTCCAATTTGCTCTTCCTAATTGTCAACTTCAACCAAATTTGTTCCTGTCGTTTTGCCTCCAATCGCAACTTTGCAGGTGACATTCACCTCGCCACGTCCCTGAGCAGAGAGAAAGCTGAGAAGCGGCGTGCCAGAGATCGCGCCAGTCACGGGATCTAATCGAAAAGCTGTTTCTCCTTGTAGTTTCACCTCACCTGTGGTCTGCGACCATGTAAGCTCAGTGCTCGGAGTCCTACAACTCACATCCAATATATCTGGAGGGGTGGCCTCCGACACAATGAACTTCTTTCCAGTAGAGAGCTCCTCAACCACTGGGAGCTGGAAATCATGTCCAGAACCATTGTACCATTGCCAGCCAGGTCCTTGGTTTGTGTAACTCCTGCTGTCGATAGCTTGAATTAACAAGCCCTTCGGGGCTTCAAGCACTTCCAACAAGTTTTCCACATCCTGTTATGCGATGTTCATGAGTCAACATATGGCTGCACGGTTGTGACCCATCCAATAACATGTCCTTGCTACAGTATGTTCAATTCGTAAAAACAAAGATAACAAAAATACCAAAAGCGCCAAAAGTCCCAAGTCCTCAATGAGAGGTATCTCAGGCATTTCTGCGGAAACGCGGGCAACCATCTTCGGCACCTACAGGGAATGAACGGGGTGGTAGTTCTCATACCCTTCCATCCGTTCTCTCAACAAGTTCCATCAACGTCCACCAACCCAAACTCATGATTTGGCCCAAGAAGCCTTCCACACACCAGCTCGCCAAAGACGTACCTGTGCCGCCACGAACTCGGTCTTTGATTGAGATGCCCGCACGTAGCAGCTGCAGGAAGGCATTCCAGGCATATCGGTAACCTGTGATTTTAATCCTTGCGGGAACGTCTTCCTTCCTTCGGCGCCTTCGGCCACAAAGAGCAGGTCACCTGTTGAATCAACTTTGAACCACGGGCACTTTGGATCACACTGCTTCTGAAAGCCAGTCAAATCCTTTGTGGATGCTTGCAATGGAATTCTGTCTGGTGACGGATGCTGGTCCAAGCCATAAAATTTGAAGTTGACCACCTGCTGTCCGTATGAAAAGCGGAAGACGGGCACCGAATATTCAGTGCTGCTGATTATACCCCGGACAGGATCTTGCACGGACACGGTTGAGCATTCAAGCACGGTGTTGTTTGGGACATTGACCACACCCTTCACACGACCGTCAGGAAGCAATTGGAGCCCGGATGCTGCAAAAGCACATCCTGGTTCAACCTCCTGAGCTATGGAGGTGATGGGTTCTGGAGTTGAGTGGATCTGCTGGCCAAAATGCAGGGCCTCCACAGTTAGCTTCATAAAGGAAGGGGTTGGATATACATTTCCACCACCACATGCACAACACGCCTCGCTGGGTCTCACTCCATGATATGCCAAATCCTGATCCTGTGGTGGCCAAGAGCCAGAACAAATGTGAAGGTGTTTTAGATCTGCACAGCTCCGACCGTGCATGTCATGCCAATTCGGCACGTCGTCGCAAATGAAACACTTGGAAATGTTCATAATGGGAATTTTCTGCATCACATATCCGGCAGCACACTCTTGGCAAACGCCTTCACTGAATCTCCGGCAGCCCTGACAGAGCTGACCACTGCAACAACAGGAAAACTCATAGAGGTCATCAACAAAATTGCCGATCACAGTGCAGCCTGGCGAACACTGGATTTTCTGTGGCAAAATGCTTGCTGGCACGCTGGGCAAAGGCGATCCGGCTTGTATGGCTGAAACCGGGGGACACTGACGAAACCCCGAGGGAGTTGACCAAAGATCAGGTGTCGCTGTCGAGGCACGTGAGGTGAGGCTCAAGCTGGCGGAACGAACATGTGGCTTCTGCAAGCTGCAACTGGCATCGTCTCCAAAAACGCCCGCTATCAGCAAATGTATGAGGCACCTCATGTTTGCTTCATTAAAGGAAGCATGGCGCTGCAACTAGTGAGGAGTGCTTGTCAAATGATATCGTGGCAGTGTGAAAACACTGATTTGCTGCAAAGGGAACAAACTTGATTCAAGAAGTGTGAGTCCGATTAAGTTCAAATATTTCTCCATGAATATCTCTCAATGAAGGAAACTTGCAGAACATGAATCTGAGCAGCTGATACTGGGCAAACATGCGCTCCAGGAGTCATGCGCATTTGGCATGAAGCAGTCTTGCCAAATGCAACTGAGCTTTGACTGCATGCTCATATACCGACTGGCGGAACATCATAAATGATGCTGAAGAGCTTTGGGAATAATGGGGCCACTGCTCCCAAAATGCATCGAGCTTGAAGTGGAGCTCTAATGTTTCTTTTGCTTCAAACATTATGCTGTTTAGGAGTGGGCAGTATGAGGTCTATATGAAACGTCCTGCTCCTTGATAGCCTTCACTTAGCTGGAAATGATGTACACCAGCAAGCTAAACTATCCACAATCAAATCCAGTCAGAAAGGGACCAGCTAACAAACTGTTGGCCCAGCTCAACAACAGTGACCCGAGAATTGTTTAGGAAGAACATAAAGGCAAATCCAGACACGGCTCTGCTGTGCGCACCGTACTGATTGAGAGGCGCGAGATGAACCAGCTTAGGCCATCTGAGGCTTACGCATAGAGGCGTATAGTTGTATCATAGTGTATGAACTAAGTTGAGGCTGTTCTGCAGGATCTCTCCCTCATGTGAGCACACTGGGCTCAAACCGACACGCAGTGAGCCTTCAAACAAAAGTAATAGGACAAAAGCACTGAGCACTAGCGACTTTCTATTTTCACCAAGCAAACAACCTGGCGGCGGTGATCGAAATGCACCGCTAGTCTGCCTGCGCCTGTCAGTTTGTGGCCAAAGTTTAACAGCTTGGAGCCTGTCTGCTTTGATCCGTCCTGTGGCAAGTCCCACATCTCCCCCATCACGCGAAGGGTATCATGCTCAAGACCTGTCAGTCAGCTCGGGCCATGACTTCCACAACTCATTTCACAAGTCGTGACTCGAGCCTTGCAATTCTCTCGTTGCGTTCACTTCCTGTCCGGGTCTCTGAATACGCCGTGCGTCTCAAGCACAGAGTTGCGACGCATCAATCAAACAAGAAAGCAACGGTGTCCCTAAAATTCTAGGAGCCAAATTAATTATGCGAGCGTGAGCTATCCTGTGTCCTACCTGCACCGACTAGCTACCTCTCCCTTACTTAATTAAGTAGGCACCTACTAAGTAGGGAGGGCGGGGTGCGGTCTTTAACAAAAGTTCCGATCGGAACTCAGTACACAGCAGTTCACCTTCCTTTCACCCTCCCCATCCCTTCCGTTATCATCGGAAATTCACAACTGTTGGAGGAAGTCTTTACCGGGCTCGCTTACTTGAAACAACTCTGGTTTGGCGCATTGAAAAAGGTTCTGTCGGGACTTCGCATTTTCTTCTTACTTATCTCACCGTCTTTCACATTCTCCTGCCGACGGTGGGAAATGAGCTGTCCTATATTTTTGAAATGCAGGAGGCAACCATAACACAAGCCTAAGAAGTTGCCTAAGAAGTTAAGAAGCATGAATTTTGTTATGGGGGGTGCCTTAGATACCCTTGACTGTCGATACCTGCAGGAATATTAAAACATATTCCTAGATACTTCCAGTTCTCCAAAATTAAATATTCCACAACTCGCTTAGTTAGTGGAATAATTAAAACATGTTTATATCCCACAAGCATTCCAGTTACTTAATGTTACTTATAAAGAATATTCTGGGTATGCTTCGACATGCTCTTACAAATGGTATCAAATCTTAAAGGTCCCTTGGGTTAATATTCCAGGTATGTATTGAGTTCTTTCAAATAAATATTCTAGGTATATGTTCACATGGCATTCTGGAATTGCTTCTTCTATGTAGTGTTGCCAACATATCATCTTAACAAAAAATATTCCATGTATGTGTCCAGTATACAGTATCCTATACCTAGGGCTGTAAATATTCCCAAAAATATACTAAAAAAAAATATTCCGTGAACTCACGGTACTACCTGGAACAGTTATTTAAGGCACCCCCCATATTTTGTTGAACCTGTTGCTTTCAACAAGGGCAGCGGCCAAAGAAGTCACCAGTCGATGCCCGGACCCAAGGGCCCATCAGGCGCTACAACGGAGAAGTTTGGCGAGGTGGAACGGACGAAGAGTGAACACATGCCGAGTGCCGACAGCCCTACGCAAAGCCGTCCGTGCATGGAAAGAAAGGCGACAGAAAAAAAACATGTGTTTACAGTATAGTTTTTAGCAACTGGTTTCTGCTGCCAGCGCTCTGTAAATCGAGAAACATGATTCTGACCCTGTGACTATGGATATCTGCCAGAAGCCAAGCTAAGAAATGAGAAAGGAAACAAATGAGTGATGATAGATTTGTGTGGACTTTCCTTCCCTGACCTTGCTTCTCGGGCCTCTCGGCAAACCTGAGTGATTTGCGAATGGGTTGCTCGCTTCCGTGATGGCCAGAAGACCTTGGGACAAGTCATCAAGGAGGTGGCCCTGGCGCGGGATGCTCATTGGCTGGTGGCGGCTTCTGCGGGTGACGCAGGGGGCAGCTGCGTGGCTGATACGACTTCGCTCAACAAGTCGGATAATGGTTGGTTACTGGGCAAGGAGATCCATGGTTGTGAGGTGGCTCGGACCTTAGAATCTGTCAGGCTTTCCAGCTCGGGCAATGCCGAAGCGATCGGAAGACCTACCCTCAGGGTAAGCACATCTGCGGCCTCGTCGTCAAGAACCAGCGTGTTTGTGCGTCTCCCAATCACGGTGCTGCTACTTGCAAATCCAACAAGAAGTGATGGGGCCCACAGGAGGGGGCCGCCTCCTCCGCATGGGATCCCGAGGCATTTGCCGCAAAGCAACGCCGCGCAAACACTTCAGGCGCAGTGAGAGCAGTGCCTGAAACATTGCACATCCACGGTTTGTGCCATGGCAGGCCGCGCTGATTTTTGCACGAGGATGAAGCAAAAGAAAACTACAGTAACAGCCCTGGCTTTCACTTGCTTCAAGGGTCGGTAGATGGACACAATCGTCCCACTTGCACGAACGCTTGAAGGAAATGATGAACTTACAGCCCCAGTGCATTTGCGGATGTCAAGCCCGGAAAGCTCTTGCAAACAGAGCAACAATTAGAATGCGTGTTGGACTGCACAAAACAAGGTTCACCATGTAGTCGCCAAATCTCATCCAAATCATCCCATGAAAGGTCTGAGAAAATGCTACATCAGCCGTCTGTGACATTTCATGGTGCAAAGCCCTCATCAACCAACTGAAACAGTCCATGTCGCCAACGGTTTTCCTAGTAAAGACATGTAAAAAACACATATACATATTCATGTATTACTGTCACGCTTCCAAAATGTCAAAGATTGGTAGTTGTGTGTTTGGTTCGGATGTCCCGGACTTCCGCGATGGATCTGCGCGCTTTGCAAAATGACAGAGCGAGAATCGTGTCCAACCATGGGCGACATGCCATGATTTGTGTTTTCATTGCGTCGTAGCCAGGCACATTGTGTAAGATTTATGTTCTACGGTTCTACGTGTGGAAGTTGCTCTTGATACTGCGCCCTCACAACATGCGGCCAGCTGCCATATGTCTACCAACTTGCCTAGGGAAAGGTTGCTCTACTGTCCAACGAAGTTTCCTGTCAAAACGGGCTAAAAACTCGATTTGTCCAGTGACGATGTGCCCAGTGAAAAGGAGAAACCCTACTCTTTGGGCAATGTCTGTACTGTGTCAACTGCAATCATTGTCTTCCAGGATCTTTCAGCCTTCTTTATGATTCCTTAAATTCGCATTCTGTCGTGTTTCGAGGGCGAAGTTGCTGCTCTCCTGCAGTTCTGCAGCGTGAACAACGCGTTCCTGTTCTCTCTCCATGGCAACTGCATGCTGCTTTGGTTTGGAACATGCTCGTTACGGTTAGATCTAAGAATCAGCGTCATGAAGCCACAGCAGAAGTGCACGAGGAACAGAACGCCCAACAAGAATTCGAAGAAGGATCGCACACCGCCGGTTAAAAAGACTAGCAAAGCCAGGAAAAGAAAACCAAGAGCAGGGAAACAACATGGACGCAGCTATATGCGCGGACAAAGTAAAAGAGAGAAACACAAATAGATCGAATGAGCGCCAAGGTGAAACCTGTTGCCTTTTTCAATAGGTCGCAGGTTTCACACTTGCTTCAAAGTGCAAAACAAGCAGTCGACTCCAGAGATTGATATCTCGCTAGCGCACTGCGCTACACAACCAGCAGGGCGGAGTGTAGAACACACCCTTGCCATGGGGTGATACTGAAAGCGAGCTTGAAACAACAATCGGACACAAGGCCTCAACCAAACAAAGACCAATCACTGTCACTGCCGCTCCAATTTCTGCTGGTGAATTCACTTCTGGCACACTGCGCTGCAAAACGCCGCACCAGCATGCACTGGTGCCGTTGAAGCACCAACAAGTTCATGAACTCTGCCTGCTAATAACTACTCCGGAGCAATGGGCTTGTCTAGGGTGCCAAGCAGCATGCTCAAACATGACCGTACCAGACAACCAAATTCATCATTCATTCTGAAGGTCATCTGCGAGCCGCTAGCCTAGTCCTAGTCATGTCTGCTTGGCCTCGAACTTCGTCCAGGGATAACCTAAATCACAACTTAGCCCTGTTCAAAGCCTCGGCAACGTAGCGGAATGCCTTGAGCACAGCAAAGTCATCTGCCTGATCCTTCAAACCTACGTGAGAGCGGAGCTCAGCAGCCTCGCTCTCAAAACGAGACAAATAGAAAGAAATCAGCAGCAACGGCATGAGCTCAGGGTCAATTTCCTCAGTGAAGGCAAACCACATGTCGACGGAGAGACGCACAACGTGACAAAACTAGCCTATATTACAAAACCAAGACTTTGACTTGTATACGACTGCCTGAGCGTCTTTCGTGCTTGGAAATATGGAGCTTTTCTGTCCGAAGAAGAGCAAATCAGCCGACGCTTTGGCTTCAGCTGCAGTCGCCACTTTCACTCCCATTTCGCTGATCCATGACAAAATCTTGGTCTCATCTATGGCATCTTCTTCAGAGGTGGGTGCAGTGAGAGCGAAATTCTGAAAAAGTGTCACTTGCTTTGGCGAAGGTTCGCAGCACTGACCAAAATCCAGAAGTGCCACCTTCACAGTATCTAAAGCCATGAAATTGCCTGGGTGGGCATCCATTTGAAAGAATCTGTGCTTCAAGACCATCTGCGCAAATAAGTCATAGATGACGTTCCGTTGCTGGCGGTCGAAGATATCGAGGGGCTCACCACGCTTCCAGCACGCGATAGCTTCCGCTGCTGTCTTGCCTGGGAGCTTCTCCATAATCAGGCCCATCTCAGTGGCAGCAAACACCTACAGTAATCAGGTGTATGCACATCTCAGATGGGGTTGCCCATGGCTGTGTTTCGGAAAGTCCAGAAAAGTGATATCATAAAGGTCTTCACTTGAGTCTGTCAGTTTGTTGAGACCCATGCAAGAACGAGACTGAAAGAATATGACGCTTAGATATCTAGTTGCAGTATGTTGCAGTAGTGGTTGGACTGTTTCGATGCTATTCCCATCTATTCCCTCTCACCCGCCTCTGGAACAACCACATCGGAGTGCGATGCAGCAAACATCTTCTGAATGCGATCTTGGTTGGCTGCTTCTTTTGTGAAGTCAGTTTCGCTGGATACTGTTGGCGCCAGCTTCTCAGCAAGTGACTTCAACATCACAGCTGCACCTTTTGCCTCCTCATATTTGTCCACATGTTGGCCAAGGTCGGCCATGATCTTCAAATCACTTTCGTACTCTTCTTTCACGTGGGCGTGCTGAACTTTGGCCACTGCTGGCTTGCCTTGCCATGTGCAATTCGTGTGAACTTGTGCAATGGAGGCGCTCTTCACAAATTCGTCAGAGTCATCCCATTCCAAGCCCGGAAACTTGCCCAAGATCTTCTGAACGTGCTCTGCTGGACTGCGGAAACTTGTGCTTTCCTGCGCCTTGGAAAACTCTTCACAGTAACCTTCGGGCAAATCATGCCGGAGACTCATAAACTGCATGGCTTTCACCGGCAAACCACCCAGTTTCATTCCACTCTTGTAAAGCAGCTCAGCAATCAAACAGTGGCGCTCTTTGTTTGGGAGCACGGACTCTGGAAGCAAATCTGCAACTTGAGGGATGAACCGGCTCAGCAGCGGCACTGGGGTCCACTCATTGACGCGGCCGTTGATGTAGATAGAGATGCATGTGTCCACTGCAGCAAATGCAAACTCCCTTCTCTTCTTGCTGTCCAGCACCAACTTGCCATCGGTCAGATGCTCGTAGCGTCCTGAGTACAGGCCGCACTTGGAAGCACTCTGTGGCAAAAAACTTCAAAGGTCGTAACTCATGGCAGGCAACTACGACGGAGGAAACCAGGAGATCAAGGTGCGCCAAGGCACTCTTAGCATTCTGGATCATACTTTTGCCTAAGCGCAATAGCACGTGCACAAAACCATTCACCGGCATGCTGTGACAGCCTGTGTTAGTTTCTTTTTACATACCGCAGTCTGGCCAAGATACCACAATGTCCCAAGTCCGAAATCGCAATGCCAATGGCTCAGTGTGCGGAATCCCCGAGATGAGAGCTGGAACAGCGATAGCCACACAAAAATCCATCTTACTAGCTGCTGCGGAAAGGTCGGCCAAAACATACCTCTCATCGACATTGAGCGATTAACATTGACCACACAAACCAAGACAAACATTGACACCGCAAGTTGTCATTGTACCAAAGCAACGTGAAAAAACCACATGAAACAATAAGACAAGGTCCGGGCCAACAACAAATAGCCCCTGCGCGCTCTTCGCTTTTCTTCCAAAAACCACACTTGCTTCGAAGTGTAAACAACCTCTCGACTCGAGACAAGACCAGAGCGGAGCGTTAGCAACACACCCTTGCCATGGGGTGATCATGCATTTGAGTTTGCAACAAACATCTGAAACAAGACTTAAACCCCAACATGCTATACATGCCACTGCCACTCCTACTTCCACTGGTCAGTGAATGTCAGTGAACTTCACTTCTGGCACACTGCGCTAAAAAAACGCCGCACTAGCGTGCACTGGTGCCGTTGAAGCACCTGCAATTCATCAATCCTGCCTGCCAATATCTACACTCGAGCTATCGGCTTGTCTGGGTGCCAAGCAACCTCAAAAATTGGTTTTGGCCTTGTATAGCGAAGCGCATTCCAAACAAAACACAATTTTGTGGGAGTCTATATATAGCAGTCTGCAATTCAGAGATGTTTGTCAGTTTCCAGTTTCAATTAAGTGGCAATGACACATGCAACACCTAGCGTACATGTTGCGCTAGAATTTCTTGACAAATATCTTTCCCCCTAGCATGCACAAAAGCATGACCGCCCTCTATGGTTCTCAAGCAGAAGTGTGCTGAGCTGCCGTTCCAGCCCTGCATGTCTTTATCGGTCACAAATGGGTCATGAGTGCCACAGAAAGCGGTTATTGGACATGTCAGCTTCGGACAGGCCCAGGATTGTTGCAGCCTTGGATGAACTGCACACAAGGCTTTGGGATGGGAGATGTGAGTCATGGCCTTGTCTTTGGATACTGTAATCCGCCGACCCCTGCCTAGCTGACGCCTAGGCGGGGCGGCGCCGGGGACACCGCAGGTGAAACAGTTGCCCAGCAAGCAGATCCAGAGTGTGTCGACGGTGCCGTTTCTAGGCGTGGCCGTCGGTTGCATTTTGCCTTCATCGAAAGAGACGCGCCGGCGATGTTAGGGAATTTGGGTCGCTGCGGCCAGGCGGAAAACCCTCCAGCGGCTGCATTCTGCCTTGTACGCACACCTCAGCTGCCAGGCAACTGGGCCAGGCAATTGGGCATGGAAAGCGACGTGCCAGCCAACTGTTTTATGTGCTCCTGAAGGCAACGCGCCAGGCGACGTGCAGGCAACGTGCCAGGCGACGTTAGGCAATTTGGCTGGCTTCGCCCGTATTTAGTGTGGAATTAGATTGTGGAAAGCTGTGGCGAAATTGCCGGGAGCCTTGGGAGTGAGCCTCTGGCACTGCTCCGACCCAAACCCAAATAGGCCGGGCGCCCGGCTGTCAGGCGTAAGCCTCATAAATCCGGGCGCCGGCCGCGCGCACGTGTCCTTGCCGGAGGCCTTCGGTTGGTAGCCGAAGGTTATATACGCTCGCCGCCCCTGCCGCCGACCCTTTTGTTGGACCCCGTGTATACCTCAGGTCGAATCCGGTCGATAGATTTATATGTAATTTACAGTGCTGGCCCTGGCTGCCCACGACCCTCGTCATGAAAAAGGGGGGACCACTGAAGTCGCTGTAATTTACAGTTTTTTTTGCGTGCGATGTTCAAAAACCGCGTGTTTTACAGGGTTTTGGGCCCCTCGGCGGCGGAGAATTTCATCTTGGCGATGTTAAAAAAACGTGGGTTTTTTCAAGTGTTTTTGCTTTGCGGGAAGGAAAATCATAAACAGTTGTATCGGAAGATTTTTTAGCATAAATTGCCTAACATATCCCCAACATATGCCCAACATAGCCTCCAAGATGGCTCAACATAGAGCCAACATGGGGCCAACATACGCCAACATATGCCCAACATAGGCCCAACCTAGGCCAACGTAGGCCAACATAAGGCCAACATAGGCCCAACATAGGCTCAACATGTGCCCAAGATGTGCCCAACATACACCACATGGACCTCACTTGGCCCAACCTAGGGCCAAGATGCGCACCAGATAGCTTAACTTTGCTCAATATAGGCTTATGAACCTGAACTCAACAGACAGAGCCAAAATCCTTGAAATTTTTTTAAAACATTATCAAAAAATAAACAAACAGAAAACACAAATCCATACTCAGGAGAACAGGTCTACTCAGGACAGATTCAAAAACAAAACAAAACAAGACTCAAATAGGGTGGGCTGGAACCTGCCTTTTCCCTTCAGAAAAAAAATCCAGACTCAAACCCAGACTCAAATCCAGACTCAAACCCAGACTAACTCAAATCCAGACTCAAACCCAGACTGACTCAAATCCAGACTCAAATCCAGACTCAAACCCACACTGACTCAAATCCAGACTCAAATCCAGACCCAAACCCAGACTGACTCAAATCCAGACTCAGATCCAGACTCAAATCCAGACTGACTCAAATCCAGACTCAGATCCAGACTCAAAAATCCAGACTCAAATCCAGACTCAAACCCAGACTGACTCAATTCAGACTCAAATCCAGACTCAAATCCTCAGCGGGCTAATCAGTTAACCGGCCACAATCCCACATCCCAGGCCAGGCCCGCACGCCCTTCCCACACAGGACCCCCTCCCACACAGGATTTGCTGAGTGTTTTGCTGAGTCCGGATTTGTTTTTTTCCTTCTGCTACTTGAGTCTCCAGTTGAGTGTGTTTTTGTGTTTGGTTTTGAGTTCTGGTTTTGGGCTGAGTCTAGATTTGTTTTTTGTGGTTGTTTTTTTTGGAGTATTTTTTGTGCTTTGATTTTTTCATCTTGAACCTCTTCTGTGTGTGTGTTCGGTGTCATAAATATAGGCCCCACCAAGGCCAACATAGGTGTGACATACGCCCCACAGACCCAAGTGGGCCGGCGCCCGGCTGTTAGGCGTAAGCCTTTAAATCCGGGCGCCGGCCACGAAGCGCGTAGCATGCCCGGAGGGCCTTCGTTGGTAACCGAAGGTTATAAGCGGCGTGCCCCCTGCCGGCGACCCTCGTCCCCGCCCTCGCCACTTCCGACCCACTGAAGCCCCTGTAATTTACAGTGCTTCGTGTGTGTGAGGTATAAAAACACTGTGTTTTACAGGGTCTATTGCGCATATCGAAGTACGACGCGGCGAAGATGGAGAAATGCGAAAACGCTGTGTTTTTCAAGGGTGGTGTCGGTAATGCGCGCCGGGCGGACAGGCTTAATCGACATTTCGTGGGTGTTGGGCACGCGCCAACAGCAAAGGCGGAACATGTGCTCCAAGATGATCTGACAGAGGCCCTCAAGGGGACCCAACATAGGTCCCAGATATGGCTAACACATAGCCGCAAGATGGGCCAAGATTGCCTCAAGATGTGGCAACATAGGCCCCACACAGTCTCAAAAAGAGAGAGAGAGAGAGAGAGAGAGACAGAGACAGAGAAGACACAGACAGAGAAGACAGAGACAGCGACAGAGACAAACAGAGACCGAGACGGAGACGGAGACAGAGACAGACAGAGGGAGGAGAGGGAGAGAGAGAGAGAGAGAGACAGGACCCAGCCCTACACAGACCCAAGTGGGCCGGCGCCCGGCTGTCAGGCGTAAGCCTTTAAATTAGACACACGTTGCAATACTCAGCTCCTGGCTACTATGGAAATGAACTGCCCACTTGATATGACTATCCAAATCTCTGCATTTGTTAGGCAGCACCTGCCACCAACACCCGTATTGTCTTGCCTGAGATTACACGGTTTGACAACCTAAACAGCCAAAATGCTGTTGCAATGTAGACGGTTGTATGGGATGAAAACAATGTGTCATTACACACGGTTTGCCAGGGCATGACAGTAGGGGGTGTGGTTTGGTGCGAGTCTGATTCTTTATCTCATTCGCCAAAGGATTCGCCGGACATTCCCCAAAACATAAAAATGTTTTGTGCTACGAATCATGGTAAGTCTGGGGATAATGCAACACGCTGTGAAACTGGCGTTGCATCTGGAGGCCACTTGTCGCTTGTTTTCAAGCTTTGGAGGCCAACTGATTTCGCACTACGCCTTCTCAATGGAATGATCGCAGTTCCCCAAAACCGTTTGGATCTTGTGGCAGCCGGCGTGGGTAAAAAAATCAAGCCTACAGGGTGACAGCAACCACTAAGCAGGATTGAGTTGATTCGAACCAGCCGTGTTTTCTCTTTTGCACTCTTTCTTGGTACCGAATGTTGTTTTATGGTTATGCCGGCTGTGCCTTATCGCCTTGCTGGCTAAACCAGTGAGCGAGCGTTGTACACTCTTAGTAACTTAGAGACTTGCACCATCGTACACCTACTTCAACACTTACACCCACGACGCTGACCCTGTGATTTTTGTGGAAAAGCAACTGTTCTCTCATTGAGCATTGGATGGCACAGCTCATTTCCTGGTTGGCTGTGACTCCAGCAGCAGCATGGATCTGCTTTAATGGTCTTTTACTGCAAACCCGGATGTTTTCACACCCATCTATATCAACAGCCTGCCAGGCTGATCTGAATTTACCAACTATTCTCAACTGCCCAAAGCCATGATTCAGGCATCACCCAAAAACAAGAGTGCACTGGAGAAAGACGCAAAAACATCTGCCCTCCCACGCTGACATCCCGCTTCTTATTTCATGCTCAGTGACATTTTGAGGCTTGCCGCAACGCAACGTGCAGTCTGCAGAATCGCGCCATCGCTGTGCGTGAAGAATTCTTCGGGCAAAAACTCAAAGTGTCTTAGTTCTTCTTTTGCGAAAAGCAGGTCCACCTTGGGATCCTTGAGTTTCTCGAAGTCTACTTTCATGTGTTCAGGGTACCGCTCTCTGTAGCTCTTTTGTGGAGCACACCATGCTCCAATGCCCAGATGCTGCACCTCTTTGCATTCCCTTTCAAGTCGCTCAGCCAGGGCCGCAACAATGAGTGCGCCGAAGGAATGTCCATAGAGCACCAGCGGAACTTCTCCCCAGCCATGATGCTGCAAGAAGTGCTGCAGTTCATTGAAGAAAGTCTGGATCAGATCTGACCAGTTCTCCACGCAGCCCTCTTCCTAGGGGACAGTTTAACAAACGGCGCCATCCGGAAGCTGTCACCTTGCAATCAACAACCTGTTCACAAGTCACAAACATAGAACAGAAAACGCTAGCTGCCATACAAAACAACATCTACCCGAATCTGCCCTGAGAGTGATCGGCTCTCGCTCGGTGGACGCTGGCACAGCATGTCTGCTTCGTCTGACTGTTCATTGGATTGCTCTGTGCTCCTAACTCATCGCGAGTGCACTTAGAAGCTCGGTACCTGTGACAAGCATCCAATCGGTCCGCCCATCCAGGAGGAGTGCCACAGACCACAGGCACCGTTGTATGTTGAAGCCATGATTTGTAAACCTCAGTGCACTCTTTTGGCCGTGCAAACTGCTGGACACCAGACTCTCAGTTGAATTCACATCAAGTTCTATCTGTTGCCAACGAATCCCAACGTTTCGAAACTTTTTGACCAAAAGGCAGATGTGCCGGATGCATTCGGCGGCATGCAAAGCAGTAGCGAGGAGGGATTGGTCACCTGGTTGCCGATGAGCTGCCACCACCTATTCCCTTCAGATTGGCTTTCTAAATGAGACAGGATGCCCGAGGCGATCTCTGGTACACCAGCGGTCAGCACCAGCATCTGTTCAAGGTTCACCTTGGAAAGACTCAAGAATTGAGGAACGCGGCTTCAGCATGCTTCAGCGAGCTCTTTGTTTTAAGATGATTTAAATTTACATGCCTTGGGCACCGCCTGATCCGCTTTCTCCAGTGAATGTGGTGTGTGTATCCCTCCCCGTATCCAAAGAATCGATCACACAGGATTTATATACTTTTCTTTGACTCATGCAACAGCTAGGCAGGCAATTACTCGCAGGGGGTGGTGCGTGACTGACAAACACTGCCCAACGAAAACGCTGCCAGTTCGTGGTGAAGCACTGTCGCACGAGGTCCCCTTGTTTTGTTTTAATGAGGTTTGGCTTGGCCTTTATTATTGTCACTCTTCATCTGGTTTCCCTTTCATCTGCCTTCACACACTTTCTTTTCCCCTTTCCCTTCATGTCTTTTCCGCTTTCATGTCCGGTCATTTCATTCCTTCTGTCTTTTGCGCGCGTCTTGTCTGGCCCTGCCTTAGCGCGCATGCGCGCAATTACATTCTAAACTAGGTGGTAGTGGTAGCGTTCTGTCGGGGGTGGTGTATAAAGAGCAGCTCTGTGGTGGCAAAAGTGCGCGACCCTTGGAGGAGGGTGGTGTTGGTTGCGGATGCTGGGGCCTGCGAGTCCATGATGGTAAAGCAGTTGGGAAATGCACGGCTGGATACGGATGTGTGGTTGGAATGAGCTCCTCGACGATCACCGCCATGTCCAAAGTGTTGCGCCTGCCACGAAAACTGCACATCGAAGTAAAACAGCTCCGATCCCTTGAGCCTGTCACGAAAAATCGAAATTGAACCACGAAAGCACGAGGTTTCTCTTGCGCCTGCCACGAAAAAGTCACCACCATGTGCGAAAATGCGCACGGCACCACAACGAGAGCGCAGTCGAAGCACCCGCCGCGGACACCCAGATTCAGCGAGCCTGCGCAGTCAAAATGCACTTGGAGGAGTTCGAGAGGCATTGAGTGTGCTGTAAATAGCAGCGACTTAGCCGCACACTCCCGCGCGGCACACCGATCTAAGCACAAGTGCTTTTCTACTACCGTAAGAACCCCTTAGTGTGTCCACACTGTCTGGGGAAAAACGTCGTTGTCCATTGTTTGGCGCGTACGCTTCTTTATGCTTAAATTTATGCTTGTTGATTTTCAATCTCTTTGTGCTTTCTGTGCGCATTCTCCTAGCATGCACCTTGCCATGTTTAACAGCCAGCTATAAAAGCCGGCCCACGTACGTATACGTTCGCCGGTTTTGTTCTCCACCCCGTTTTCATTGTTTACTCTTCTCTCTCTTTCCCTTTCTTTTATCTGCATGTTTTTCATTTTTCTTGTCTTGATTTGTTTTCCCTTTCCTTCTCCTTTTGGCTTTCCTCTTCCCTTCCTTTATGTTTTTCCCCCTTTTCAATTTGTTGGTTCTTTGTTTTCTCGCCCTTCCTTGCTCTTTATGTTTCTTGCCCTTACCTGGCTTTTCCCCTTTGTCAATTTGCTTGCCTTGCTCTTCCGTGGTTGGTTGCCTTTGCTTTGCTCTTTTCTTGCGCTTGCCTGGCCTTGCTCTTTGGTCTTTTGATTGCCTTGCTGGAGCGCTCGGCGCGTGCACGGCGCGAGTTTCACTTCGGGGCCCGAGGCTTTTGATTTTTTAGAGACCTTGGGGCCCGAGTTACAGTCTCGGGCCCCGAGGTGTGTAAAGAAATGAAAGCCTCGGGCCCCGAGGTGACACTCGGGCTTTGCTTGGTATCGTGCTGTTGTGCTCTGAGGCGGCTGTAGTGCTTGGGCTTTGCACTCTTACGCTGCTTTGGTGTCAGGGTTTTCTTTGTTTAACGGCTTAGCGTGTTGTGGTGCTAGGGCCGGGGTTGGGCCCGGAAAAGGGCTCAAACCGAAAGTTTGCCCAAAGACTTTGAACGACAGATTTTTGGGATGAAGTGTTCAAAGCCTTTGGGGTAGACTTGGGCATGAAGATGGATGCAAAAGCTTCGTTCAAAGACTTTGGATGAAGGGTTTTGGGGATGGCAACTGTGTGCTGGATATGCTGGCGCGAAAACCTAGGACGTAAGTTGTCTTACGTCCTAGTAGATTTAGGACGCCAAGGTGCTGGCGATGCTGCTTTAGTGGGCCGGCTTTTCCAGCATATTTTTAGTGTCGCGTCGCACACATTGAATCATGATCCGCGGGTTGGGCAAATCATGATTCAATACGGCTCAAAGACTTTTGGCATGAAGACAGGTTATGTTGAAAGCCCTTGGGAGGAAGGATTCAACGACTTTGTTTGGCATGATGACAGGTTCACAAGGTTGCAATATGTTTGCAAAAAGCTTTTGGAATACTCAGCGTTGTACACTCACAAACAGGTGTGAAACCTTCATCCCCAAAACCCTTCATCCAAAGTCTTTGAACAAAGTTTCTGAACCTTTCTTCCTGCCAAAGTTTTGGAGCCCTTCACCCCAATGACTTTGAACCCTTTAATACCCAAAGTTGAAAGATTGTGAGCCCGTCATCCCAAGTCTTTCACCAGAACCTGTCTTCATGTCAAAAGTCTTTTGAAGCGTTCATCTCAAAGACTTTGATTGAATCATTCAGAGCCAAGCCTTCGTCCAAAGTCTTTGAACAAGTTTATCCCAAAGACTTTGTTTGAATCCTTCATCCTGAACCGCTTCATCCAAAGTTTTTGAGCAGTGTTTCTGCACCTTTCTTCCTCCCAAAGTTTTGGGACCCTTCATCCGAATGACTTTGCACCCTTTAATTCCCCGAGTCTTTTCAACTCCCAAAATCTTTGAAAGATTTTGAGCCCTTCATCCCAAGTCTTTCACCAGAACGTCTCTTCATGCCAAAAGTCATCCCAAAGACTTTGATTGAATCCTCCATTTCCAAAATCCTTCGTCCCAATTTTGAATGTAGTTTATCCTGACTGTGATCGAACCCTTCATCCGCGAACCCCTTCATCCAAAGTTGTTAAGCAATGTTTCTGAACCTGTCTTCCTCCCAAAGTTTTGGAACCCTTCATCCCAATGATTTTGAACCCTTTCATACCAAGTTTTTTCCACAACGTTTTTGAACCCTTCTGCATCCCAAAAAAATTCTTTGAACCCTTCATCCCAACAAAGACTTTGCGTCGAGTTTTTTCCACAGTAGCTTACGGTGTACTGTGCAGTTTGCACAGTTTTACTCCGGCCACTGTGCAGTTTGCGCAGTTTTACTACGGCAACTGTGCAATTTGCACAGTAGCGCTGAACTTTACTGAGCACAGTCAACTGTGCAGTTTGTGCAGGTGACAGCTTCTAAAATGATATATATATTATGTGTGTGTAAAACCATTGCACCGATTGCAAAACAAATGGGCTCAAATCTTGAAAAGATTTGTCATGGTTTGAAACAGATTGATTTTCATGGCGTACACACAAAAGACTGTGCGAATACATGATAGTTCGTATCCTGAACTCTGACAATTGTGTGTGCCTCTGCGTTCGTTGCATTTAGGTTGGAGTCATCGCTAGCCTGACCAGTCGTAATCAAATGCGTGCGCATTTCATGTACCATTGTTTTCATGGATGGTCGTTGTTTTGATCAGATGGGTGCGGGGTTTGCATTCTGAAGCGCATTGAGCATTGCTCTTGCAAGTTGATTATTGTTCTTGATGCCAAAAGTCGGTGCCAAGGTGTTCATGAATAATGGTATCATTTTGGTGAAGTCAGTTGGATGGTTATGTGGTTGTTCAGCTGGCCGGCCAACTGAACAACTATATAACCTTCCATGGACCCCAGGTGGTTCATTTGGAGGGTCAGTTGTTCATTTGGCCGCTGGCCAACTGAGCCACTCGCCGGCCAACTGAACAACTAACCATCCAACTGACTTCACAAAAATGATACCATTTTTCATGAGCAAGGTTTTGGGAGTGAGTCGTTCCAAACAACGTTTGTGGAAATGCAACGCCGGACGCATCAAAAATCAGATGTTTTCCAAAGCAGGATGCTTGTGTGGCGCGTCTCGCTACAGCAAAACGCGCATTTTGGATTGGAGTGTGAGAAAAGTTGTTCGACTGGAAGGTCAAAAGCTGCATTGGAACTGCCAGCGTCGGCCTTTTTTGCTCCCACACCACCAGTCCCATCATCCTTCAACTCGTGGTTGACGCAAACATTGTGCCTCCATTGCCACGCATAGACAAAATTCAAGATCCTGTAGTGTTTCCTTTGTTTCTACTGCGACGGGTATCCAAAGCCGCTTCCCAGTTGACCAACAACGATCAGAGTCTAAGACCGTGCTGTGAACGAATAACACCAAGGGTCATCGAAATCCCGAGTCAAACCATCTCTCTCTATATTTGTATATATATATACAGTCAGTGATCTGAAGTAAACGCGCTCATTCGCCACAATGCTTGTAAACAAGAAAAATCGGGAGAACAAGACACGCCAACCAACCGAAACAACAACACTAAAGCACAAACGGTCGCTACTTCTGAGGCCGTTTTTAAAAACAAATCGGAAAGAAACCGTGTCAGCTCTGTCCACATGAAAAGAACGTGGAAGGAACGAACAATGTCCTGTGCGCATGTATATTTCAGTCCCCCTGCCCGCGTGAGGTATACAAACGCTTACACAAAGGTACGAAAACAAAGAACATCGAACAAACCCTTTCCACGTGTACTTCACATAACGCTGGATATGTGAAGTACCCACGCACCCGCCCGCCCGAACGCGTGAGAAACAAAACAACAAAGCGGTGTATCAGTCGTGGGCCAGAAACAACAACAAAAGCAACGCGAGAGTATATCTGTGTATTTCTGTAGAAAGTTCTTGAAAACCATTGCCCTATTTAAAGGAGAAACATTCAGAAGAGACTTCCGGACAAAAGTAATTAGCGTTTTCCAGGGGTTCAAAAGTAGAGATGCCTAGGCAGAAGATCTTGAAGCCGCCATTCTAGTGACACGCGACATGTCTCAACAATCAGTAGAGAAACATACAGAGCTTTCTTGAGAGGCTTAAACACCTAAAGCAGCAGAGATTCAAGACACGA